AAATCCAAAAGACATGTTTGGCAAACATTCTTCAATTTAGCACACGTTTGACACACCTCGGTTTTTTTGTACCTCATATCTTTGCCTGGCATCCAACGAAAATTCGTAAACGGCCTCTGACATATTTTGCACTCAGCTCCATGCTTATCCTTCATCTAAAAAACGCTACGGGCTTTTAAAAGAGAACCTGAAGCCAGATCAAAACGAAAAATCTGCTTTAGATTTGCTTACCATTCGGATATAAGGATTCGGCCCCAAACAAGTTTGACATAGGATAGGAAATTCCTTCAACAAAACTCTTCATTAAAACACCAGAAATAGCAGGAATTTTAATATGGGTTTACCCATTCAATAAAAGATTAAAAAAACGAACAAAACTAAACAGAATCTTCCACAAAGTAAAACACACATCGAAGTCAAAAACTAGGATAGTGTTAGTTTCGACAAGAAACCAAAGATTAAGTCTCACCGCATCTTCCCATGTCTTACGGTTGTAAGTATAAGAGGATTTTGACATAGCCATTTTGCTGTTTTAGGGTGTTTCACTTTTCTTACTGAAAAAGTGGTGATTACACTCCAAGAATTAGTTCAGCAACACCTAGAAATTTCGAGGACGTCTCAACAGAAATCAACGTAGTAAGAAAGACAAAGACCTAGTTGCGTGACTTTTACATTTTAAAAGTAGCTTGAAGTTTAGAAAACACTATCCCACAAGTTCTGGGACCTCTTGGGCTTCCGATTAGCGGGCAGGAAGTTACCTGTATCAAACGCGTTATCCTCACATTTCAGAAAATAATTTTTAAAGCGGGAAAGTTGCCAAAAAAAAAAATGCGTTGAAAATTCAGCACCGCTGTGGTGCCAAATTTTAAATGGATTTAAGGCTGCAAGGAACAGCTTTTCAGAAATGCAGACCGTTGTTTACCATTTACCCAGAAACTGTTTAAGGGAGTTGTCAAACGTGGATCGAATAAAAATATTCTTTTGGGTGTCGTAACTGTTGCAAAATAAAGTGTGGGAAGCTGAAAATATTAAGTCGGGTAGTCAACAGTCTGAGCTTTGCTTCGGTCTGGTCACTTTATTCTTGACTTGAGATATTTCCATGTTCTAAGCTCTTCCTGTTTAATTGCTAAAAACCGTCTCTGATTCAGGTCGGTTTAGGAAAATTTCAAGATCTGAAATGAAGCGTGACGGAAAGGTTGCTCATTTATGCAGCAAGACCGATGCGCCCCGGTCAAATCAGCACCAACTCCATTCTTAGTGCTCTCAAGTGTCTTCCAAGTGAATAGTGTTTATTTGGAAGGAGTTTGGGCAAGCAGTTTGTTTATTTTTATGAAAAAAACTGATGGTTCAACGGTAACCCCATTGTGGAGTTTGAAATTAGAACAGTATAACGCCCAGAAAATTGCAAGTGTAGTCAGTTTTTCACTTAAACTGGTAGTGTCGAGATTAAGGTTTCCTTGTTTAGTTGAATCCTTCAACATCTCTCCGCCGTATTAGGTAACCTGATTATTTTTTTTTCACTGTCTAGAAAAAAGTTGTTTCTTATTTCAAAAGGACCTCGGATATTTTCGATGAAAACAGGGACCGTTTCTTACGGACGCTAATTTGACAATCAATAAGGAAGTGGTTGTTTTTAGGACACGAATATGATTTTTCAAGTGTAAGATAACCAGAAAGTATGAGGATCTGATCACAGTTTTTATAAAGTTTGAAGTTTTGAACTTCCTATTGTAGAATCGCTTTTCTTTATTCTAGATATAAACAAAACGTGGGCTTCAGGTGAAACTTGAATCCACTATGTTACCTTGCTGAGGTATTGCTTCAATAATAACCCATCAAGGAGCTCTGTGCAGTATCACTTGAACTTTATTCTTTCAGTACCATCAGCTTTTTTATATCTTACGCAACACTCGTTTGTTAAATGAAAATCGTCGTTTGCGTAGCTCCATTCTTAGCTTAGAAAGCAGCCACAATAGTTTCAGTTGTTTTGGAAAACTAGAGATCCCTTAGCTCAAGAGGCATTTTCCCTTCAGTTATTTCTGAATTGGTAATATACGCTTGCCCTGCATTAACCCAATTCGTTACGACTTTGCCATGGGTTTCTGCGAAAGATTTTGGTTTTATTAGTAGAGAAGCCACTTCTCAGACAAACTTGCCAGTGTAGCACACGGGGAAATGGACATTATAAAAGTTCTTGTACGTTTATTTAGATTAGTGAAGCATTCTACTACAAGTTTGTTAGATTTCAAAAACGGGAAAATGCACTTTCATTTAGAAGTGTTAGAGTTTCTGTGCATAAGTGAACCCGTTGATTTAAAACAATGGTAAAGTGGCAGTCATTCTTTGTCTTTTAGGCACAAAAATTGCGGTATTTTCTTTAAAATTTGCGAGTATGTGAATGGCTTACTTTTATTTACTTTTTTTTCTTAAATGTTTCAGGATCACTGGTAAAGACTGGATTTCTCGCTGAACTTGCATTTGTTTAGATCTAGCAAACTTTAATTGCTTTAAGAGTATGGAGAACTGGTTTCATGCTGCTTCATTTAAAAGCTTTACCGTTCAGGTCAAGTGCTTACTGTAATAGCTAAGTTAACGAGCAATCAAGTTAAAGTAGACGCTAAGAGCAATCTAAAAACGAAACAAATACTTTTCAGAAATTGAAAAGTGTAAAGTTATTTGTTTATAACTTAATTTTTTTCAAGCCACTAAAAACCGCCTCTATATTGCTGTAGTTCAAATTTTCTTGAATTTTTTTTTAACATCTTAACAGTTTGCTGTATTTAAATATATCTGAGATTCAGCACAACGGCAGTTTAATTAGTGCTCAAGTTGTCACTAAAGAAATTCTGATTTTTAATTTTATGTTTTTTAATCCTAAAAAAATTTGTTATGATATTTTCGATGTTATGTCACAAGGAAAATTGATTTGTCGAAATACTTAACTTTATTTGTTAGACAGAATTTCAAATGTGCATATATATATTTAAAGTGGTAAATAAAATGATTTTAGCAATACTGTTCAAAAGAATCATATAGGTTTTCTATTCATAACCAAAGTAATTTAGCAGAGTTATCAAGTTATCATCTGATTGACATATATTTTTAGCATTATTACCAAAAACAGTTACTGAAAGAAGCGTTTAGTTAGAAAATAAAAAATATCTTTAGTGTTTTGCTTTTAAAATAGTAAAGTATTTTGGAGAAGTATTGTGGCAAACCTGATATAATGGCAAATTAATTGTGCTCTGTGTACCATTATTTTTACTTCAATTCTCAAAAAATGTATCTACCAAAACGTCAACACCAATTACTTTCTTCTCAGTATATTTTTTTTTTTT